CAAGTGTGAGGCCCAAAGCTCAAACCCCAGTACAACCAAAAAAAATTAAAAATAAAAAAGATTTCCTATTTTATCAACTACTTCATAACCCATTTCCATTTGCAACAGCTTCCTCTTGTTCTAGTTATATCCAATAAAATGATTTAGAATTTTCAGACACTAGAACAAAAACTGTCATAGTACTGAATACAAAGCTAAACCAGCACACCCTAGATTTGTGGATAAGGGCACATGTTCACCACATGTATGTTTGGTGAAAAGAGGTAGGGGCTCCAGGTAAGGAGCCTCTCTTCTCCTGCCCTTGCTCCCTTTATTATTGCCCACCAGCAGCAGCAAGAGTCAATTTCTATTATGGTCCAAACTGAGGGCATTTCTCATAAAGTGAAAGAACTCAAGGAGCTACAGACAGCAGAAATTATGGGGTCCATCTACTCAAAGTAGTTAGAGCATATCTATTGTGCCAGGTATTTTTTGGAGCCCCAAACATCTTTTCTTTGTCCTGAGTAATTTCCTAATGGTTCAACATGCCTAGCATTGTCTATCTCAAGAGTCTTGGGTTAGACTGCAAAAAGAAGTGAGACAATGAAGCAGACTTGTTAAGAAACAGATGAGACCCAATAGCCTCAGTTTCTGCCTTTCTGGTTTACAATCCTGACTAGCCTGGATATACTTCATTTCCTGTCCTTTGATATACATGAGATGTGATGACTGACTGGGGTGAGTTTTTGTCCTTTACTACCTTACAAACCTTGGCTGCTTATTCTTCTCCTTAAGTATTAGCTACTTGAGTATGGGTGCTATGTCCATGATTTCCTGTGATCTTCTTTCTACCTACCAGCCATTCCTGCTATCCACTGACCAATCTGGTAGCATGGACTATGAGGCATTTCACCTCATCTGAACCACCTCTGTTTTACATTTGACTGCCAGAGCTGTCTAGTCCTGGAACAGGTATCCTAATCTACCACTCTCACAAACTCCACAAAGTCCATCTCAGAGTTGGGGGTTGGTGGCTCATGCCTGAATTCCTAGCTACTTTGGAGGCTGAGATTGGGAGGACCATGGTTCAAGGCCAGTACAGGCAAAATGTTTGAGACCCCATCTCAACCAAAAAGCTGGACATGGTGGTTCATGCCTATCATCCCAGTGACAGTGGGAAGCATAAAATATAAGGATCATGGTCCAGACTGACCTGGGCAAAAAGACAGACTTTATCTCCAAAATAACCAGAGCAAAAGGGTTGGAGGTGTGGCTCAAGTAGTAGAGTACCTGCCTATCAAGCACAAACCCCAGCACCATCAAAAACACACACACACACCAAAAAAAAAAAAAAAAAAAAAAAAGAGGCCATCTTAAGTAGAAGTTTATACTGAAAAGCAAAGTCAATCTCCTATTGAAACCAAAGATTTCGAGGGGCTAGGCATGGTAGCACACACCTGTAATCCCAGCATTCAGTTGGTAGAGGTAGGAAAACAATGAGTTGGATGCCAGCCTGGGCTACATAATGAGACCCTGTCTCAAAAAAGAAAAAAAACCAAAAAACCTAAATAAATAAAAATAAAAAAATTAAAAATTAGAAGATAAAAGGAAACAGACAGGAGGCCTGGAACTTTGATTTACAGTGTGTACAAAAACAAATCAACAGATAACTTCATGTGGCTGTTAAGTATAGCTGGTAATAAAATAAAAACCAGCTAAAGATGACCTTATGAGTCACTATCACCGTACTAGACATATAGGATGCAAATAATACCTGGCTGAAGTGTGATACATAGAATATTGTTAGTAACCAGACACCTGAGCTCTTAATTTTAGCACTGTCTCTTATGTTTGTGCGACTGCAGGTAAGTCGATTTCTCTGAATCTCCATTTTCCTCATGTGCAAAATGGTGTGAAAATAGTATCTACTCTAGCTACCTCAAAGGAGTATATGAGGATGAAAAGAAATGAAAACAGGAAAGTACTTTACAAACTGCAAGTACTGAACAGAGAGAGGCATAAGAGACAATGAAAGGATTAACACTGAAGTGAAAGTGTAATGGTACTAGATGCTACATATCTTGATAGAAAGAGCAACGTTAAGGGGGAAGTTTCAGGCTTTCCAACTCCCTCAAATTTTTATTATTTGTTTTGGTGCAGGAAGTGAAGCCAGGACTTCTCCATGATAAACACGTTTCTACCACTGAGCTATACTCCTAGACTAGAGCAACTGTTAGCCCAATTGGACTGTGAGTTATAAGTCACATACACAAAGGTTCTTTAAAAAATAATAAGGCATAATGATTATCACTGTCGTTTTTCATCAAACCACTCTTACACTAAGTGATGGGCAATGGGGATTAGTGGATTGACTAAACCCATAAAAAGCCTAAAACCTTTAAAAAGCCTCATACTAGCAGATTCTTAGTAATTGTTTTGGTGAACTGAAATACATATGTCACAGCAGCTTTAGAAAAAAGCAATAGCTAATTGTACTAGTATTCAGCAATGCAAAAGAACTCAACCAAAGACCCAAAGAAGTGTAACCACTTTAAGAATGTGACAAATACCATTCATTCCCCAAAAAGTTAAAAAAAAAAAAGTAATACTTGGAATATATTAATACAGTCATAGTTTCTAACTCTGCTAAAGAAATAAAATTATTTCTCTTTGCAGATAGGATCTTCTTGGTAGAAACCGTACAGAGGGCTGAGGGTATATGGGGGGAAGAGACTGGTGTAAAGCAATTGGACATCTAATCTATAGGCAAAAAATTAAACTTGACCTAAACCTCACACCTTACACAAAACTAATTCAAAATAGATCAAGAACTTAAAACTATAAAAAAGAAAACCATAGCAATTCCACATACACAAAGTCTGTTTAGAGCTAATAAATTAAGGGCTGGTGGAGTGGCTCAAGTGGTAAAGCACTTAACCTAGCAAGTGTGAGGCCCTGAATTCAAACCCCAGTACCTGCCACCCCCACAAAAAAAAGAACTAATAAATTAATTCAGCAAAGTTACAGGATACAAAACCACTATGTAAAAATCAATTGTACATTTATTCACTAAAGATGAGCAATCCAGAAACTGGAAATTAAGAAAACAAATCCAGCCAGGTGTGTAGTACACATCCCAGTACTTGGAAGGCTGAGGCAGGAGGATCTCAAGTTCAAGGCCAGCTTGAGCTACATACTGAGCTTCAGGCCAGCATGGGCTACACAGGGAAACCCTGTTTCCAAAACAAAATTCCATTTATAATAGCATCAAAAAGAATACAATATTTAGGAATAAACTATCAAGAAGGTGAAAGATCTATACAGTGTTGCTGAAAGAAAACCAACAAGTAAGGGCTGATGGAGGGAGGGAAGGAGGGAGGGAGGAAGGAAGGGAGGAGACTCAAATGGAACTTAATATAGTTAAGACACCCATACCATCCAAAGTGAACTACAGATTCAATACAATCCCAATGACATTTTTGTGAAAACAGAAAAATCCACTCTAAAATTTATACAAAATCTCAAAAGATTTCAAGACAATCTTGGGGAAAAAAAAAGAACAAAGCTGGAAGACTCACATTCCCTTAATAAAAAGCTACAGGAATCAAAATAGTATGATACTGGCATAAGGACATACAGACCCATGGAATAAAAAGTTCAGAAACAAATCTTCACATACATATTCAAATGACTTTCAATAAAGGTACAAAGACCATTTGTGAGGAAAGGGCACTCTTTTCATCAGATGGTATTGGGAAAACTGGATATCCACACAGAAAAAAGTTAATTACTTTATACCATATATAAAAATTAATTCAAAATGGATCAAAGTCCTAAATGTAAAAAGTCTTCGAAGAAAAACGGTGGTGGGGGGGGGACTTATGACACTGGACTTAGCAATGATTTCATGTTCTTTTTCTTTTTTTTTGAGACAGAGTCTTGGTATATAGCTCAGGTTTATCTCAAACTCACTATGTAGCCCATGCGAGCCTTGAGCTTGCCATCCTCCTACCTTGGCCTCCTGAGTTATGGGTATGTCCCACTGGCAATGGTTTCTTGAATATGACACCAAAAGCACAGGTAATAAAAGAAAAAAGGTAAGCTGTATTTCATCAATTTACAATTATTTGTGCAAAGAATGTGAATATACCTAACAATGCTGAACTATATACTTAAAAATAGCTAAGCAGGGGTTGCAAGTACAGCTCAGGGGTTGAGCACTTGCCTAGCATGCATGAGGTCCTAAGGTTCAATTCTCAGCACCATGAAAGAAAAAGTTAGGATGGTAAATTTTATGTTATGTGTTCTTTACCACAATTGCTAAAAATGTAAATCAGAAGGGGGCAAAAAAAAAAAAAAGATGCAACACAGTAAAAAGGCATCCACAGAATAGGAGAAAATATTTGCAAATCATGTATCTGATAGGACAGTCAGAACATATAAAGAATACCAGTAACTCAAAAACAAAAATAACACAATATTAATAAATAATAAATATAATAAAATGAAATAAATAAACAATCTGATTCAAAAATGGGCAAAGAACTTGAATAAACATTTCTCTAAAGAAAATATATAAATAGTCAATAAGAACTCAGGAGATCAGGAGGATTTACAGTTTGAAGCCAGCCTTGGGCAAATAGTTCACAAGACCCTATCTTGAAAAAAACCCATCACAATAAAGGGATGGCAGTGGCTCAAGTGGTTGAGCACCTGCCTAGCAAGCGTGAGGCCCTGAGTTCAAGCCCCAGTACCACAAAAAAGGATCATGATTCAAGGCCAGCCCAGGCAAACAGTCTGAGAGATCCAGTCTTGAAAATACCCATCATAAAACAGGGCTGGCAGAGTGGCTCAAGTTGTAGACAGCCTAAAATACTAGTAAGACTCTTTCTGAGTGGAAAAACTACGGGAGATCTTGATTTTCTTCTTTGTTTCTCAGCATTTCTAAAATTTCTACAAAAAGCACATTTTCATTTTAAAACTCAAAAAAATATGATAAATAAAACCAAGACAGCACTTACCTTCTTTCTTTTTCTTGAAGAATTCCTTGTGGGATCAGGCTTCTCAAATTCTGCTGCCTTTGCCTCTTCTTTTTCTTCTTCCTCATCAGGTATCAGAGAATATTTGGTCCCACCTGGTTGCATGAAGCAATCTTTTGCAAAGTGGCCTGCAGAAGAGAAGCAGAAAAGGTAGAAAGGGAGGAAGTAGTTTCTCTTCTCTGCAGGTTTATGCTCCTCAGAAGCTCCTGACAAAGGTCCTCTGCTCAGGAGATACCACTGAGTTTATTCAGAGCAGATTTTCTGCCACTTCAAGATGGCATTGCTTACTTAACTAGAGCCAGGTGAGCAGCTGGTGTCAGAGCTGCAGGAGACACTGGTGCTGCTTTGAAAATGGCAGAGAATGAGGATACAGGCCTGTGCTGCCCTCCACAGCAATGGGGCTTATTAATTTTTAAAGATCTATTTTGGAATTTATTCCTGATAATGAAAGGCTGCTCCAAAGAGCAGAATGCTTAGCAGGAGGAGCTGAGTGTCAGGCCAAGCCCTAAAGGAAGATAGCTGGCAGGAAATGGGCACTCACATCCAAGCTAACACAGACAGACAGGCACAGTCAGCGAGGGGTACTGAACATTCACAGATTGTCAGGTCTGGCAAAGGCCTTAGAAATCATGAAATCCAACATCCTGCAATTGGGAAAGATACTAAGACCTGGAGTTAAGAAACAGCTCAAGGTCACACACACAGCAGCAGAGCTACTTACCTCATGGTTCATGCCTCCCTGCCCTGTGCTCTTATAGCTGCACCAAAACTACCTTTGGCCTGACCTTTGTTGACTGGAACAAATTATTATTTATTTTCATTTTTATTCTCATGATTCTTCTCTGCCTTATGTAGCATCTGGTGGACAAAAGTGAAGAAAGGATACTCCACCCTCTCTGAACCTACAAGTGCTACTGAAGAGCCCTTTAACACATATAGTGCCTACACCACACGCCTCATCTAAGCTTCTAATAGATCTTATCCCAGGGGCAGAGAGGAACTGCAGGAGATAAAAGCCATGTGTAAGCTGTTGTGCACCTTGGGTCCAGAAGCTGGATGGTGCCTGGAAAGGGAACACAGCACAGAGTTCTCCAAGTATCTGAAATGCTCACACAATTCCCCTGACAAGGTATTCTGTCTCTCAACTTTTCCTTTCTTCCTCTACATTAATAATAAATAGGGCTTAAAATCCCACAACTTCAACAGGGCACAAACTTGCTACACATCACTGCAGAAAAATGAACAGAGCAGGATGGATGGAAGACTGGGGAAAAGAGGTGACAAATTGAGGTCACTCTGAAAATGAGAAGCTAGCAATCCCACTCATCATCGCTCCAACAAGGGAAGTCAGGCTAAAAGAGCTTTTTAGTATTTCAGTAAGACCAGAAGAAACCTGAGGAAACTGAACTGAAAGGAAGTAACTATCCTATATTTTTATTACTAAAAGGACACTGTATTCAGAACTCTGAAGTTAAAGATTTATCTTGGATCCTTCAGGAATATATTTCTAAGTTACTTAATTTTCTTTTGGCAAAATAATTGTCCTTAGAGATAAAATTTAGTGTCAATCATAATCTAACAGTCTTCCTCATCTTGGCCTGGTATATGGAGACCTTACCCAGATCAGGATTCTGCTGCACAGTCAGGTGCAGGGTTTGAGTGGGAGGGTAATGGTGGTGATGTGGTATCTTGCAGGGCCGGCATTCAGAGAAGTAAACAGAAACAGCATCAAGTCATACTCTCTAATATAAGTCTGGTGGAGTAACAGCATGTGTAAGTGCATCCATCAACTGGCTAAAAAACAGAGTGAGGTGAACTAATGCTGAGCTATTCCTTCATTCAGTAGAGGGCCTGTCCACAGGAGAGAAACAGAGAAATGACCCACTTCATCTTACCTTTACAGCCACACTTCTTGCAGGTAGTGTTCAGGACAGCCTCAAGGGTGATCTTCTGTCCAGTGTAATCCTGAAAGGACCGCCTCCGCCTCTCTTCTTGTCTGTAAAGAAGAAAATACTGACTGCTGGCCCTCTTAAGAGATGTAGTCAGAGATACTACAAGGTAAAGTTGTATGTTGGGTTTTTGTTTTGTTTCTGGCAGGGAGAAGGGAGAGAGAAGGAAAAATGTTGGTTAGAATGAGACAGACAGTAAAATCAATGATATAGGAACAGTATACTTTTTTTTCATTCAGAACAAGACTTTGAGTTAATCATTATGAATGAGATTAGGTCCCATCTTACTAATGTACAAAAGATGAAAATATAATTACTAACAATAAATACTAAACACCCTACAACCCTTACCTAGCTTCTCATGAATTTAAAAGAACTTCATAGGCTTTCTAGAAAATCAAGTCCAAATTCCTTACCTCGACATTCACCTTATTGATGCAGTATGTTCGGGCCAAATGAGTTTACTGTACCTTGTCCAGACCTAATTTGTTCAACAGTTCCCACTCTGTGAAATGCTCTGCTTCCCCTTTTTACTCCCACCTCAGCACTTCACTATACCCAAACCTTTCAAGGCTCCCATCTTTCTATCAAATCTTTTTCTCTGAGCTCTTCGGTCAGCATTAATCTTTTTGTTCACATTCCCAAAGCACTTTTAATAATCATAAACATCTAATCAATATATAACATGCACATAGAAAAGTATTTGTACTAAGCATACAGGTTGATTAATTTTCACAGTCTGAACTTACTCATATAACCAGTACTCAGATCAAAAAACAACATAACCAGCACCTCTGCAGCCCATCATCTCATGCTCTTGTCGCCTGCCTCCCCTAAGGGTAACCGCTATTCTGATTTCTAATAGCATACACTCATTTCACCGATTTTTATGACACAGACAGTAGCTGGCCATAAAGGTGCACACCTGCAATCCCAGCTACTAAAGAGACTGAGGCAGGAGGATCACAAGTTCAAGGCCAGCCTGGATGACTATCTCAAAATAAAGTAGAAAAAGACTAGGGATGTTAACTTAGTGATAGAGCTTGCTTTGTATATGAGAGACTATTTGTTCAATTCCCAACACCAGACAAAATATATTTATATATAATAATATATACATATAAATGCATACATATACATACATCCATAAAATATGTATATTTCTGTGTTTGGCTTCTTTTGCTTGTTTGTAGCTCTGGAAGTCTCATTGCTATATAGCATTCTATTTGGGTTTTTGGCGATACTGGGGTTTGAACTCTGGGTCTCATGCTTGCTAGACAGGTACTCTACCACTTGAGCCACTCTGCCAGCCCTTTTTGTGTTGAGCATTTTTGAGATAGGATCTTGTGAACTATTTTACTGAGCCTGGCTTTGTACAATCCTCCTGATCTCTGCTTCCCAAGTAGTTAGGATTACAGCTGTGAACCTATTTAAAAAAAAAAAAAAAAGTTGGTGCCCGGCTTGAAGAGAAATCTCACTGTTTGTTACTCAGGCTGGTCTTGAACTCTGTGTGGTCAAGGATGAACTTACAACTTGCAATTCTCCTGCTTCTACCTTCTAAGTATTGGGATTATAGCTGTGTACCACCATACTCTACCAAACGCTTTTCCCTAATGTTTACCAATTTACACTCCTACCAGAAGAGTATAAATGCTCCAGTTGTCAGGTTTTTTTTTTTTTACGTTTACTATAACACAGAGTGCCTGCAAATGAGTTACTCAAAAAGTAGTCAATTGAAAAGCATCATTCTTAATCACTTTCTTTTCATATTTATACAAGCTTCAGTCCCAGCACACAACACTGTATCAGATACTTATATTAGGATGGTAAGTTGGTTTTTATTTGTTTGTTTTGAAAGAGGGTCTTACCATAGCCCAGGCTGGCCTCAAATTTGTCATCCTCCTGCCTCAGCATGACAGAATAATATGGCATTTCACCATCAAAAGCAACAATTAACATTATGGCTGACCTAAGGATAAATGTATGATTTTGGTTGGCTTTCTGAAATACTGAAAACAGTTAATAACCTCCCCCAAATTGCTTGAGGGATCTAAGATTCAAGAAACCCTGATTAGAAATTTAAGAAAGATTTAAACAGATAGCAAATTTTTTGTGTCACTAGACATTAGGTCAGTAGAAAATCTTCCATTCTATTTCAGAAGAGACAATGAAAGTAAGGTGCTATGCTCACAAGATGCTCTGAGACTACCTTGCTCTCTCCCACACAGTCTCTACATTTTTTCAGCCAAATGAATAAGTCACTAGGAGAGAGGCAAGAAATAATGCTTTGTAAATGCTTGTTAGTTAGCAGGCTAAAGGGTAGAAGCAGAAAGAGACAAAGAGGAAGGAAACAAAATCACTGATGGAGCACTCCTATGCTAGGAGACTGGTGTGTTTAGCACGTCATCTTCGAGCTCTCCTCTGTAAGCCAAGCATGGTGGTACATGCCTGCGATTCCAGCTCTCAGGAGGATAAGGCAAAAGCATCAAAAGTTCACAGCCAGCACATAAGGAGACTCTGTCTCAAAAAAAAAAAGAGAACTCTACACTCTATGCAATTGTGTCATGTACACTTTATACCTCTAAAAACCAAACATTATAAAAGTTGTATAACTACTCATTAATATCACAAAGTCTGCAAATGGTAGAGGTCCCCATTCAGTCTGATTTACTACAACATTCAATGCTTTGGGTAGGATTTTAGCCTTTCCAAACCTTTTACCTACTCAATGATAACGTTGTTGGGATCGAGGTCTTTCCCAGTCCCTTGGTTGACAACTTTCATGGAGAGAGATACTTTAATCCTATCATTTTTCATCTGAAAAAGATAAAAGAACAATCACCAAAAACTCTCAGTACATAACTGAGATTGCCAGTTTACAGTTAACTGACAAAGAATCAAATTTTCCATCACCACAATGAACACTAAGCTCCTCTGCAGGACACAGAACTGTGCCAGGAACACTGGGAGTACAAAGAGTCATAATAGCAGACCCTATGGCCAAAATGTAGGATATGGTCTTTATCTCATTCTTGTCCTCTGGGGGAAGACAAATGGTTGCTCGGCAGCCAGGTGCTGGTGACTTATGCCTATAATTCTAGCTACTTAGAAGGCAGAGATCAGAAAGATCATGATTCGAAGCCAGCCCAGGCAAACAGTTCACAAGACCCTATCTTGAAAAAACTCATCACACAAAAGAGCTGGTGGAGTGGCTCAAGGTGTAGGCTCTGGGTTGCTCAGAAATCCAAGGGCTGCCAGACTAACAAGGCAGAAAATAAAAGCTGAAACCCAATGATGGGTTCAGAGATACATAAGCCTAGAACAGATTTTAGAACATTCCTAAATCTCCCTTTGGATTTGGTCTAGAATTTCTTAAAGCATGAAGGACACTTGTTTCCATGTTGGTCTTCCTTCACTTGTCTTTGTATCAGTTATTCTCTCTACCTACAATGTTCTTATGCAAACTCTTCATATGACTAGTGAGTTTTCTTTTGAGGTCTCAGCTTATATGCCATCTCCTCAGAGGGCCCTTTATTTAAATTATAATGTATACCTAAAATCTGCAATTATTTTATGTATATATTTGTTTACTTTCAAAAATTTGTCTCTCCACTTATATTCTATATAAGCTCTATAAGTAGCTAGGATCATTTACGTCTGGCTCACTCCTTTTGTTTTTTGAGACCAGGTCTTGCTATTTAACTCAGGCTAGCCTGAAACTCAAGATCCTCCTGCTTCAGTCTCCCAAGTGCTGTGATGTGCCATGCCCAGCTTCTGGTTCATTCTTGTATTCCCCCAACCTAGCATATATTAAGCACTCAAATATTATCAAATAATAGCCTTTCAGGTTTATCTCCCCTGCCATTCCCTCGTAGAACAGGATGAGTGCATATTCACATGCCTCCTGTGGTCTGTGCATACTCACAGCTCACATGCCCTCAAATGAGTTGTTAACAGGTCCTTCATATCATTCTCACTTCTACCACATTGCTTGGTAACAGATATTAGGAAAAATGACTATAAATCCTGTGTCTTTTTTGTTGTTGCCTAAATTAAAGTATATCTGGCAGGTACTCTTGGAAGTTTGTGATAAAGACTTTCCCATAGATCAAGTTTCCTTCCCTCTTTTGGTTATTTTCTTTTTACCTCTTGTCCACCACATGAGATAAGGGTTAGGGAGGAGAGTTTTACCAACTTACTGCACCATACTTTCATTGTTCACATCATTCCTCTGAGTGTGCAGGACAGACAACTAGAAGATTTAAATTTAAGACAGATAATTGTGACAAATTAAAAATAAGATCATCGGTCACAATTAACATCATAAAATTCTAAGAAACCTCAGCTTTTCCTAATCTTTCTAACCACATGAAACTGCACAGAACTTTACCTCTCGGCCAATAAGCTTCACCCACACTTTGTCTCCAACATCTACTATCTCAGAGGGCTTATCCACCCGACAGGAAGACATGTGAGTTCGATGGACCAGACCTGGGCACAAGAGAGAGAAATAAAATAAAGTGGAGAGCACATCTGGTATTTAGACACTAAAGGACTGCATAAGGAAAAGATAGGAGTTGAGAAATGTGAAGGAAAATGAAAAATTTCACTGAAAAATATAAATGAATTTAAAGCTACAAATTAATGCCATTTGAGGTCACTTTTTGGTTTTGCTTTTTTGTTTTTATGAAATAGTCTCACTACATGGCTCAGGCTGGCCTCAAACTTGTAAGCCTCCTGACTCAGACTCCCAAGGCTGGGATTATAGACACGTGCCACTGTGTATGGTATTATTCTATTTGGAATTCTTTTTAAACAGTGTTGGGGATAGAATCCAGGACCTCATGCATGCCAGGCCAGCACTCTACCAGTAAACTACATTCCCAACCTTTGGGATCATTCTTCTACCTAATCAACCAGCAAACTTTCTTTAAACACTGCTTGGCTGAGGGTACAGCTCAGAGGTGGAGCACATGCTTGGCATAACTAGGACCGGGATTTAATCTGCAGTACCAAAAAATATAAATAAAAAAATAATGTTCAAGGTTAGTAAATATGTGAAAAAATAATAGCAATTATATAGTGTTGGTAGAAATATAAATTGGTAATACTCTTTGAAAACAACTGCATAAAGATATTTATTCCTTTGATACAACAATATCATCACTGAAATTATTCCCAAAGAAAAAAACCCAATAGAGGCAAAAACCCAAGATCATAAAACATCTGCAATTTTATTATACTCAAATGTTTAAAATAAATAAAAAATAGGGCTGGGAAGCCAGGCACTGGTGGTACACACCTGTAGTCCTGGCTACTTGGGAGGGTGAGATCCAGAGGCTCAAGCTTCCAGGCCAGTCAGGACAAATAGTCTGTAAGACCCCATCTCCAAAATAACCACTAAAATAGATTGGAAGAATGTCTCAAGTGTTAGAGTGCCTGCTTTTTAAGTGCAAAGCCCTGCGTTCAAACCCTCAGTTGTGCCAAACAAAAACAAAAAAGAAAGAAAGAAAGAAAGAAATAGGGCTAGGAGCATGGCTCAAGTGGTAAACCTGCATGAGGCTCTGAGTTCAAACCTCAGTACCAAAAAAAAAAAAAAAAAGAAGTATAAAATGACTTAAGTGACCAATAATTGGAAAACAACTTGGCAAACTATGATAAATCTGTCAAACAGAAGTGTAAACATCCATTTAAATTACAGTTATGGAAAGTAACTATGGTAGACATTAAGTGAAAAAGGGAACTAGAAGCAAAGTATCTTTTCTTAAGGTTAGATCAAAAAGAATTAACCTAGAAGGTAACACACACTCACAGGAAATTAATGTGAGTCAATTCCCTGTATAGCTATCCTTATCTCAACCGGCAAAAACCCTTGTTCCTTCCTATTATTGCTTATACTCTCTCTTCAACAAAATTAGAGATAAAGGCAAAATAGTTTCTGCTGGGTACTGACGGGGTGGGAGGGGAGAGGGAGAGGGCGGAGTGGGTAGTAAGGGAGGGGGTGGGGGCAGGCGGGAGAAATGACCCAAGCCTTGTATGCACATATGAATAATAAAACAATAAATAAATAAAAAAAAAAGTATCTTTTCTTTTTTTTTTTTTTTTGAGACAGCAGGCAAGTCTGTCCTCCTGCCTCAGCCTCCCAAGTGCTGAGATTATAGGTATGCATCATGGCACCCCACCAAAGTATTGTTTTTAATTTATTAAATTAGCAAAATATTTAGAAAAGAACAATATCCAATGTTGGGGAAAGCACAGCAAAATAAAATTACTAAGGCTAGAATAAACGTAATCACTTAGCAATGATGACCAAGATGATAGGTGTGGGGGTGTAGCTAAGTGGTAAAGCACTTGCCCAGTAGTGTGAAGCCCTGAGTTAACTCTCCAGCACTGAAAAAACAAAAGATAAAAATTTATAGAATTAAAATAATTTAAAATTAACAATAATTAAATAATAGCACTACATTTAATAAACACTTAATACTTAATGAAACACATAAACACCCTCTTCCTGGCTGGCCAAGGTCGTTTCCTGCAGAGATCCACCTTCCCTACATTGGTCAGCCATGTGATTTGGTTGAAGCTGAACTAGCCTCTAACTGTGGGCACAGCTATAGGCTTACTCGGTCAAGGTACTTACTTCCCCTGGTCATGGTGATTGCTTCAGGGATAGACACAAAAACAACTAAGGCAATCATCTTTCTCAAAACTTTTGAAAGGATATAAGCTGAAAACAACAACAACAACAACAACAAAAAACCGAAAAACAAAAACCTGCCAATAGCCCATCTTTCCCAGTAGATGGCAAGAGTCTACCAGAGGGAAGCAAAGAACAGCATGAGTGAACAAGAAAAAGGCGTGGAGGAGTGAACTGAGCAGCTGACAAAAGCCAAAGCTGAAGCTGCATCTCTCCTGCAAGTCCCCAGGAAGACCGGCAAACATTTTTTCAACAGGTTTGTGCCTCTTGCAACTAAGAATTCTAACAATAATTACACCATAATCACTTCTGAGAATCTGTCCTAAGGAAATAATCCTTTTTTCTTTGTTTTTAAAGAGTTGGGAGGGGTCTAGCTATGTTGCCCAGACTAGCCTCAAACTCAAGCAATTCTACTGCCTCAGACTCCTGAGTAGCTGAGACTATAGGGGCACCCCACCATACCAGGCAAAATATTAAGACAAAATTTAGAAGTGATCTAATACTAACTCAATTATGGTAGTCATTCAAAGGCCACTCAAATGTTCAGGTAAAACATGTCAATTAATTTGTTTTTCAGTAAAAATCTATTGATTGCTTACTATGCACCAATTGCTATAGTCATCTAGCATTTTCCCAGGCTAAAACAAAAGTAGAACGTAAAATTAGACAGTACAATTACAACTTATATTTAAAAATTGGAAAGAAATTACCCAAAATGATAACAATGGGTACATTATTACAATTTAAGTGTTTCATTTATTTTCAAAATAAAGAAAATTACTTCTACTCTACAGAAAGCAAAAATATTTTTTTGTGTGTGTGTGGTACTGGGTTTTGAGCTCAGGGGCTCACTCTTGCTAAACAGACACTTACCACTTCAGCCATACCCCAGCCTTAAGCAATTATTTTGAAGGGCCATAAACCAGGAATCATGTCTAAAAATAATTGCTTTTAAAATAACTGTCCAAGGTTTGAGGCATGGCTTGAGTATTCGAGCACCTGCCTAAAAAGTGTGAAGTCCTGAGTTCAAACCCCAGTACTGCCTCCCCCCACCCTAAAATAATAACTATCCAAGCAACTCACTTTCTTGGGACACTTAACCTTTATCTCTCTGCTCCACCCACTCCCACATATGCACAAGGGTGCCTGGATATGCCTGAAACTCAAACTGCCTACCCTGGAGCTCCTATTAGAAGCTACTGCTTTCTTTATGGTTACTGGGTCTCTCATGCCTACCCCAGATAATTCTAGAGGTTGACAGCCTATCTATGTGAAAAACTCCTAGGCCTCCAAAATGGTTTAATTAATATATGAGGTATGGTTTTAATTTTAGATCAATACATAATCTCCAAATTGGGTAAAATTTGTGCAGCTAAGGTTTCCCACCCCCCCATGGTGATATAATGAGCAGACTTGCCTAATTGGAAAATTTGAAGAGGAAATTAAGATTCCCCTGGGGAAAAAAGGGAAACCTTTCACTTTGACATTTTTTTGGCTGCCACTGTTCTCAAGTGGTTAAAATTCACCTCTTCCCTCTATTGTTAATTGCAGTTGTGAAAATTAATGTTGTACCTAATATACTTGAGAGAACATTATTTTTCTTCCCTACAACTGGAATTTGAATCCTACCAAGAAATAATCAGCAACTGTCTTTCTCCCACCTGTTCCCAAGTATGATATTCTTTTGACCCAGCCATCTCTCCCCTGGGTAAATATAACACTTCTAGAAGGATTAACAACAATAAAAAATTGGAAATACCTTAAAATGTGGAAACATTGAAATGACAAAATAAAGCCATTGAAGGTTTACAAAAGGTAAATGAGCTTGGCATGGTGGTGCACACCTGTGATCTCAGCATTTGCGAGGCAGGACAATCTCAAGTTCAAGGTCAGCCTGAGCTACATAGTGACACTGACTTAAACAAAAATGAGGAAATGTTAAAGGTCCATTTAAGCATAGAAAGCTACAAATTCACATATAATATGATATTAATCCCGACATGTTAAATTTTGTACAGATATGTGACTGCAAAGAAATATATCAAGGGGCTGGTGGTATAGCTCAGTGGTAAAGCACTTGTCTAGCATGCACAAGGCTGTGGATTCCATCCCTAGAACCACAAAAACAGATAGATAGATAGACAGACAGATAGATAGCTAGATGAAAGAATGAAAAAAGAAATACATCAAAAATGTTAACAATGCCTATCTCTATCTCTATGTAGTAATAATACATAAATATCATTTTCTTTTGTTTCCCCTTTTTTTTTTTATAATGAGCATGATTTCTAGTCATAAAAATACTTTAAAAGTAAATTTATAAATCACATACATGCTATGATGGACAAATGAGTATATGCTCATTTGGACATGAATCAAAAGTAATATAAAAAGTTATACTAGGGTGTAAAAAAATTTTTTTTTCCTGTGGGATTAGGGTTTGAGGTTTGAACTCAGGGCTTTGCACTTGCGAGGCAGGCGCTCTACCGCTTGAGTCACACCTCCAACCCATTTTACTCTGGTTATTTTTTGGAGATAGAGTCTCCTGAACTATTTGCCCAGGCTGGCCTTAAATCTTGATCCTCCCAATCTCAACCTCCCAAGCAGCTAGGATTACAGGCCTGAGTCACTGGTGTGTAGGTACAAGATTTTTAAAGTTGAGACATTAGTGACTTATTACCAAAAGTCCTTAGCTTACACAGTGAGTTAAACAAGGGACATGATCTAGTTCTCAATCTTGAATGCAAGTATCAGGTAGGCAACTGCATAGCTATGTCTGTAACTCAGGGGAAAA